TTGAAAGTGATTAAATTACTGTAACTACACGGTTTGGGAAAAAATCCGATCAATTTTGAATCAACAAAAGGCAATAAATGTTTGTTTGAAGTAATTTTTTCACCATAAAAACTTGTGAATCTTATTTTCTTGACAAAATTTACAATCTCAGCAAATTTAAAGAAATTTCAATACAATTTAGGGGTATCTCCCATACAAAATTTTGTATTAAAATTTCTTCAAACTTTCAGAATGCTACTTTTGTGTGAAAAAAATACTCTGTGCAAATTTTCACGTCATTACGATATCATACAGGCATTGAAAAGTCTATCAAAAATTATTTGTATCGCAAAACTAATGTTAGATTCAGATTTCTCATGAATTCATATTTACGGTAAAAGATATGTACGGCTGGTAATAAAAGAGACTTTAAGCAGAAAAAATCTTAAAAGTGTCTCATAATTTGTATAGGATTTACATAAGATGGAGACGGTTTAAAAAAAACTTAAAGTCACTTTTATTCTCAGCCGATCATATGTAATAAATGAATGTTGTGGATCACAGTGCGGAAAAGTTCATCTTACGGATCATCTTAAGGTCTTAAACCTTTATTTTTCATTTCTTTAACCCAAATTTGTTTTAGGCGCTCATTTTTTCTTAAAACAAAAGTTTTTCTATATTTTCAGTTGACATTTTCAAACAGCTTAAATTTTTATTTTTACATAATAAATGTAATAAAATGAATAACATAAAATTCAGCACCTGTTTCATATTTACTGTGTTATCATTTACTCTTTAAATGGTAAAATGGACTACTATTTAATAATTTTTCACGTTTTATTTATTTTTTAAATTTTCAAAACTGTCATATTAAATTAGTGAAATTGAAATATCCAAAGAAAGAATTGGAAATCATTTTATGCATTCAAACGATCAATGCATATTGCATAAGCATGATAACTGTATTTGATCGTTCAAGAACCATTGAATGGAACCTATTACAAAGGTCCATCCTAAACAACCATCTGGTCAACTGAAACGTTTGGAATGATTATGAGTAAAAATCGTTTCCATATAATACCGGTACTGAATTTCATGTGCCACCAAAATGAGTCACAGATGACTCAGTTCTTAAGCATATTATTCAATAATGTTATGTAGGATCCGGCTGTGCTCATGATCTGAAATCGAAACAATTACCAAGTAGTTTCACCAAATGATTATTAAGAGCGTGAAATTTCCGGAAAAACCAACCTTGGTGTATGCCGTTAATGTCACTTCAAAAAACGGCACCTTTACAAATTTGGCCATCTGTCCTCTTAGAATCAACATATGAATCATTTTTTGGTTATTCACATCCAGATAATACCAGTCTGAATCGCAAACCATCTTGCAAATGTCCAAACTCTAAAATTGATTTAAAAAAATAGCAAAATTGCTATAAAAATATATTCTTATGTAAATACGTGCGACAGAAAATACTAAACATGTTCACATATTTGATTTCCGCTGTACGCATAAACAAATGATTGAATCGTTACAGTTACAATATAAAACACGTATATAATTTTGTCCGATCCAGTTGCCTGACATGACATTAGAAACAAATAGAATATGTAAAAATTAGAAAAGAAATAAAAATCCAACGTACCTTCAAAAGATTAATCGACCCGATTCCAATGATGAGCGCAACCGATATAAAATGCATCATAATAATCAATGTGAATGCTTTTATGAATAAATCAATGACATCAAATAATTTTATTTGCTCGTTTATGGCTGCAATTAATTTGTGGCGAACTTCACGGTTTTTTGCTGCTGAAAAGGGATGATTTTGTTGTGTATTTCCAAGTGAATTTCGAATTTTCATGGTAATTAGTTTGAATTGAGCAGCAATGTGAAAACATGCCGTTATAAAAACGCTGTCAATGCCATTGAATACAGTCGCTGTGCAATATCCGCCTATTTTTGTGACAATTAATTCCATAAAGAGAGACAATTGAAATTCGTTCAATTCGCTGACCAATTGAAAAAAGTATGATTTTCATTACCGTATGTTAAATGGATGTAACAGGCCAAGAAGTATTTATCCGAATATTGATCAATGAAGGGATAACTTTTGAACGAAGAAAAAACATTTTTTTAAAATCAAAAATACAATGGGAATGTTGGTGACTTACACAGCTTGAAAGGGTTGCTCACGAACCAGAGGTTGATTGGTGATAAAATAGAATAAATTTGTGACAATTGGTTCGAACACATAAAGACTGCAGGTGGAAAGGCCAGCCGATGCTAGAGAAACCGTCGCAAATGTTGTGTAAATAATTACCTTTCGATAAATCGCCACCTCTTCCATTTTGTATTCTTTACACCCCAAAAATTGACGCTTAGAATTCTTTCAATAATAAATTTTGGTGAAAAAAAAATTATCAATTTACCTTTTGAATAGTATTTTGATAGAGATTGAAGAAGTTCACAAAAATCATTTCGATGAAAGTAAAACGCTGCCAATTTGGTCCTATAGAAAAGATTTCTTGATATTTCTGCTGCTGGGAAAAAGTTATTTTTAATTTTCTCACCATGAAATAAACTGAAATACACCGGCACAAAATGATTCGAGTGCCAAAAAAAGGTTATTAAAATTTACAATGCCATGCAAAACACCGAAACTAGCCGCGAAAAACTGACACACACAATTTACGTAGAAACGTTTTGGTAATGGACCTTCCGCCAAATCCATCGGCCAAATACCATAAATTCGCAGAAAAATTCGAGACGCTCGAAAGAAATCGACTTTTGATAAGTGCGTCTCGGTGGTTTTATCACTGATTAACATTGTAGCGAATTTATTTCTTTCCAATGGAAATGCAACCGTAATTTCAATCGCATAGTGGAACGCAGGTCGTTTTTATACTATTTCTCTGAAAGGTAAAAACACGTTTTAAATACGAGATCAAACGGAATTTTTAACGTAATTTCAACGAAATTCAAAGTGATTTGGTGCTACAGTAAACCGTCTACCGATTCTGTTCAGTGAAATATGGGCGGCACCGCAAACTATTCAGACGCTGGAAAATGCTTTGATATAGAAGACGAGCCAAAACACAAAATGTTATGTTATAGACGCTGTAATACATGAATGGTGGATTTTCTAAATTTGGTGTCTTACGCTCATATTTTTGCTGTCGAATTTTTTTATCGAAAAAATATCCAAAGGACTTTGAGATATTTCGATAGAAATTGATCAAAATGTAAATGTTCTGATTTTAATGTTTTCTTGAACTGTTTGTCACTTGATGCCGAAAAACAGGAAAGTGAGTGTAAGTTGCACATTGGTCAAGGGTTTGATAAAAAATAAGAGTTGAAGTTAGTTAGTAATAAGAGCTAAAGAGTTCAAGTTAGTATAGAAATACCAACTGAAAATCCTCTCTTTCTCTCAGAATACACATTAATGTATCTAATAGATACTATCTATCTTCAGTTTAGCGTTGATATCAATGAGCAATAATTTGGTTTTGAATTAGTTCAAATTAATTTTTGCTCCAATTTTGAACGATTTTCCCATTTTTTCCGAACTTCAAAAATTTCCATGGAATTCGACCAATATACATTTTGAGTGATCCATACTTTGGTGAGACTTACCTTTAAACCTTAGTTTAAACCAAAATTGTATTTTAAAATCGTCTTCTAAATCGATTGTTTTCAGGCACCATCATAGATGATGACGTAAAATTTTTTAGGGGGGGTGGGGATGACACAGCAATGAAACGACAACAACAATAACACATATTTTTATTGTCAAAATTTTGATATCAAATGGTGTCGACATTGGTGACGGTATTTTGAAACAGACTGTGTAATCCATATTCATCGTATATGATCCTATGTAAAGTTCTATACTTGATCTAGTTCACATTGACGGTTCAAATCGTTTATGTCCACTAGCGAGGACATGGACTGTGTGTTTCTTCTGTTACATGTACGTTGTAATGGACAAGTATAGTAACATGGCGTCGTTCAAATAAATGTAAAAATCCGTCCACTCGTGTCGACACCATCTAGCACGGTAGTAGGGATTTCATTGCTGTGGGGGATGATGGCAAAATTCTGTAGGGGGTTCCTGGAAAAATCCATGGGGGAAGATGTCAATAATTTGTACGAAATGAGGATAAAATCGTTTTTTTTTTTTTTGAAGTCACTTTTTGTGGCGAAAATCCCTAGCAAATCGGAAGAATTTTCTCGACCAAAAAAAGTGAAGAGCAAAAAAAAGGTCCTCATTTCCAAAATTGTTGAGGGTTCCTGAAAATATTTTTGGGGGGTCAATCGACCCCTAGGAACCCTCGTCATCACCTATGGGCACCATGAAAAAATAGTAAATTTGTTCATAGAAAAATTCCCTCACTTCGCCATGTGCCTCGCGTAATTTGACGTAGCATGTTTCCATCGGATTTAAATCCCATTCTACCATCCAGCAAAACATGAAATTTATATGGAATAGTCTTGACAGAACCATCTGTTTCCTTTGGATAATCAAAAAAAGTATTTAAAATCGAAATCCATACAAGAATTTTGAGTTGATGAAATTCATGAATAAAAACGGTTGAATTTTTATTATTTACAAGTGTATGAAACGGACAATTCCATTGGTAAATTATTATTGAAAGATTACATACAATTGACAAATATTCTATCCTAAAATTATGCTCTTAATATCTAAATTAGCTTGGTCCATATATTTTATCTCAACTGAATGCAAATAATTCAGAAAGCGTTTAAAACATTAAAATCTAAGAAAATTTGTTTTTTTTTTTTTAACTTAAAATTTCATTTATCAGCAATCGGTTTCATTCTGAGGTATTTCTCATACATTTTTTCACCATGCATCTTATTCGAACGATTTTTGGTACCAGATTTTTCCTGATAATTAACAAAATAAGCAAACAAAAATGCAAGCAATGTGATTTGTGACTCATTCGCAAAATCGATGGTAAATTAATTTTGTTTTGATTTTTTGCTGGCGGTTATCGCGGCTGCTTTGTTGGTAAATGGTGGCAACATTTCTGTGAAAATCATTGTGCCGAGGAATACTAATAGCGTGCCAATCCAATGGTAAATGGTGAACGGGTTGTTGAAGTAAACAATTGAGAACAGCAACGATATGAATTTTCGTAATGTGACGACCAATGTGACAGTCAGTGAACTGCACTCGGTTGTTAGTACAAATACCGAACTGATGCATAAATATTGCGTTAAACAATTTGCAAGCAAATAAAGCCATAAAATTGGAATCGACACACCGACTATGGGGACGGCGACCGGTTCACTGGCACTCGCTATTGCCATGTGCTCCGCAATGTTGCTGTACATCAACAAAAATCCAGGCAACGGCAATAAATGCTAATGTAATGAGAGAGAGAGAGAGAGAGAGAGAGAGAGAGAGAGAAAGAGATAAATTTATTGAGCAAATTGAGAGAATTTACAAGGTCTAATGACTTACGCTCATGTAAAGTGCCTCACGTGGATGCTTTCCGTGTTGTTTGTACAAAACTTCCTGATAAATTCCCATTCGCGCCGAAATGAATAAGGCAAGAGTCAGAAGGGAAATGCCACACACCCACCAGAAAAACACCGAATAGCCACTTGTGTCCTCGAGTCCCAACTCCGGGTTGGCGGTACTTCTCTGAAAATATATTCAAAAAAGTTAAAGAAGGTATCAAATGAAAAAAAAAAATCTGAATTTTTTAGAATTATTTCAAAACTATTTTTCTTTAGATCAAGGGCATATAGGCTGTGAAAAATGAAAAAAAATCAAATATACTCACAACATTGCTACCGGACACAATTGTACAAATGACAATTCCCAATGATATCATAAACACCGACAAATATTTTGAGAATGCGTAACTTTTACGCAAAATTATGATGCCCATCACCATATTTGCGATCAACGAGCCCTGTAACGATAGCAAAAATTTTTAATTATTTTTTTTGGAAAAAATTGTAAAATGTCAAGCATGGATATTATTCATTGTATAAATAGAATGGAATCGCTTAGTTATTCAAATTAAAGAATAAAATATAATTTCAATTAATTTTTAAAATTTCCATACAAAATTTGGAGGTCATTAACCTCTTTAAACAACATGAGGTTTTATTTGTTTTCCGCACATTGTGGAAAAGGTATTTTTGCGACATTTTACTGAATATCCACATCTGTCTTTGGGAATTGACAACTTTTTCAGCGCAATTCACAATTTATGCTCTTTAGAAAAAAAATGTCCGGTCATATACTCTTTTTTGGACTCTTCTGTGTACATCGAAGCGTAAAATATTTGGCATTGTGACAACATTCTATGCGTCGACCAAACATTGTTTCGAAAATAGCAAAAACATGCTTACATAGACGCTCTCCGTTTATTCGTTCCTACATAGCGAAAAAACACCGTGCCATATTTTATCCATATAGTGCACTTTGAGCTTCGACGCTACGCATATTGTGAATCCCTTTTCAGTTTTTATTTCAAAAGAAAAAATTGTACTCACCGCCCGAAAGATCATATGTAATGGCATCGGAATATTAAAATCAAACGCGTAATTATTGCATACACTGGCTATGAAGAACATCACGACTAGAATAATATAACTTTTGTACGGAATTCGAAGTGGTTCAGTGCCGAATTTAGATGTGAAAATTAACCCTTCCAATGCGATGAACGCAAATTGAGCAAATGTCACCAAATTACCGGAACCAGGGTCCATTCTAATCGAAGAAAAATTAAAAAGGAATATTTTAGAATTTTTTCGGAATTTATATTTTTTGGATTTTTTTAATAAAAAAATATTTTTTTATTTTCTTCAATTTTTGTTTTAATTCAAAAAATATTTTTAATGCAAATTAATTCGATAGAAAAAAAATGTGTGTTCGATATGAAAAAAAAATGTTACACTTACTTCACCATGTACTCAAGAACGACGACATTGGTGCAGCATCCGAGAAATGTGCCGAGAATTGCCAATATCACCTTCATTTTGTGTAGATTGAATTAATTTGTACTTTTGAAATTGAAGAAAATCCGTTATACTTTGTTTAGCCTCTTTAATTCACCTAAATTAAAAAAAAAATAAATAACAGAATTTTTTTTTTCAAAAACAATAATTAATTAAAAATAAAATTTTATTAAAATATTTTAAAAACTCACGAAAATAAATAAAACTGTGTTGGAATTTTTTATGAACGAGAAGTTTTTTCTAAAAAGGTTTTTTCACCCCTTTTATGCCAGAGATTTGTATGTAAGTAATTACGAAACTTACATACTAAACCATTTTTTGACCAAAGTTAAGTATATTCTCTCTGAAAAATATAAAAATCGCATTTAAAATACATGTTGCAGCGGTTTAGTATTTTACAGAGGGAGATACAGAAAAAGAAAGAAAGAAAGAGAGAGAGAGAGAGAGAGAGAGAGAGAGAGAAAGAGAGTTTATTTTAAAGTTTTAACAATTTACAGGAAAATCGGTATTTTTCACGCAAAATCTTCATTTGAAAATGGTTAAAAAACATATTGTGTTTCGATAACAACTCGCGACATGTTCACTGATATGCCTCGCGTTTTGAGACTCTCAAAAATGAATTGAGAGCTGGATTGAGCATCTCATGAGAAACACTCTTCCCACACTAAGTGTACGGAAAAGTAAACTCAATGTCATTCAAAATTAGATTAATTATTACTTCGTTTAAACAAGGTACTGTAGCAATAAAAAAAAACTCACAACTTCTCATAAACAAAAACGTTCGAAATCATCGTGCCATGTGCTATATCTCTCAATCAAATCACCAAAATAAAAGTATCAAAATAAACAAATGTTGTTTAACAATGAAAGTGACGGTGTTAGAATTGATTCAGTAAATATAACACATCAATTGTGTTATCATTCACTGAACGGATCTGACATTGATATATGAATTGCGCAAGTGAAACCGGTTCGCAGCAAATTAATGCAAATGATTGTATTTGCGGTTTGGCAGAGTTGAAATCTAGATTTATCACAAATATGATGTAATTATTTATCCTCAGCGTAATTAAATTTAAGGATTGCGGTGTGTGCGCTCCACCTAAATATCATTCATTAACCGCATACAGTAGTTCACACCCCAACAACACAAATTGACAAATAATCATCATTCACTTTTAACTCAATTTCATTTTATCACTTCAGTTTTGGGTGAATGATAGTTGCGGCATGAATCGGTCGAGTGTTTTCTCATCTGAATAAGTGGCGAATTAAACAGGTGATTATATTATGAAGACGGCCGGAATCAACATTAAGGGAAAATAACTGACTTGGACATGAGGTCGATTCGGCTCTTCGACCCACATAAGTCACTGCGAGTTTGTATAAAAATTGTTTTCAATGTCTTTCATTCGTTCAAAAAAAAACTATTGATTTTTATCGCTTTCAAAGCTTGAGAAAGACTTTTGAAGAAAACTGAAGAAATATTTCTTGAGCGACACTAAGTCATGATGAAATAAAACAATACAATTTCTAGCTCTTCCATTCTTAGAACCGAAATCTTTGCGATAAGGAGTCTAAAGATATCATGATAAATTTCCAAAAAAGGATTCATTATTCAGCACCAGTAAAAAAAACACTTTTCTCCGATAAAACCACTTTATGTTTGATTTTAAACTTTTGTTCACCCTTTTTTCACGTACAAAGTCACTGGGTCATTCGTTCGCCTATTATCTTTACTGGTTATGTAACAGTAAAAAAAATAGCGTGCTAGAGCCTCAAGTCTATTTATTTTTCAGTGTATAAAATCACTTTGTATTGTTTCATTTAACAAGACACAAAATTACTTTTTTTCTTCAATCAAGTTTTTTCTGCTATTTTATTGTTCCTGTCGTTGTCGATATCATCAAAATAAAATCTTGAAATAAACCAAGTAGTGCTTGTCTATCTCTAGCATGACATTTTTATCAATTTTTATTAACTGAGAACAGCAAATCATGATGATGAGAGTATAATAAGCACATTTAACGACTTTGAATCCAATTTGTTGGTAGCCAATCACGGTGTGACATGAACGCTTCCATCAAATTGTTTATCATATAGTGACGTATCAAATTGGCATGAGATGATAAAATATGCACAAAACTGAAGTATGAAGTATCAAGGTAATTCTGAAGCAACTGCATTTTGTAGCAAAAAAAAACTTTTTATTTTTATGCACAATTGATTTTTCACTGCAATTAAATCGAATCAGTATATTTTAATTCAAACTTGAAGGATACAAATAGAATAAAAATAAATGCCTTGCAACCAAACACAATTCATTGTCAAACTTTTTGTATGACGGAAGTATCAAGACACCGCACTTTATTTACAAATAAGACGCTTAGTTTTGGCTCTTTACTCAAATTTTCTGAATATTTGCGTAAAATACTCACATGCACACCAAGTTTCATTCACACTGGCTCATCAAACGGTGTTCATTTTTGAAACAATTGATTTCTGTTCACACGTCGTTCTCTATTTACAAATATAATACTAGACAGAACCAGAAGTTCGATGTTGAAACGACAGCACCGACCACACGACTAATTACTTTTTATTTCCATCGAAATTGATGTATGATTGTTGTTGTTTCAATGCGATTCAGCCTTCAATTTTCGATTCACAGTATTTTTCTCGTACTCACACTTTGTAAAACTGAAAAATGACACAAAACGTCAATATCAGCTGTTTTGCGGCGTTCGTGCGCATGAATCTAGTACTGCACTTTTTTATCCGGTTGTTTTGTCTAATATTTCAAAGGCAACTTTTAATAACGAAGCAAATGCGTGAAAATGTTGTTTTATTTGAAGATAAATTCATGGAAATGTTTCGAGATAAACATTTTTGGTTTCTTTTATTTCTTTTTACCAAAAAGACATTTAAGTTCCATGTAAAAATATGTGACGATATGAAAATACATACTATTTATTACATAGCATACATTCAGGCGACTATCGAAAACTGTGCGTAGAAGCTTACAGGCAAAGTGAATGAGAGTAAACAAAGTAGCAGTGGAGAGAAGTACAACGAACGAAAAAAAAGGCGAAAAAGACCCTTTTAAAAAGAAATCAAAGGAAAATATGAAATCTCGATTAATGTCAGTTTTGAACTTTTGATTGGTGAATCGGATCTCTTTTTGTATTTTCTAGCAAAAAGCCACTATTTGCTTAACAAATCTTCATTGGCTCCAAAGCAAATGTTGGGTCTTGTTTCTAAGAAAATAAATGCGTTAGAGAGATAGCTAGAAGATATTCAAAATCTAATTTTACTGGATGATTGGGGACTGCGAAGAGACGATTTGATTAGTTTTTTTATTATCTGTTAACCGGTGTAAGTTTTGGACCGAACGGCGTACCCACATACACAAATATTTTACACAAAAAATTACATTCTGAAAATATTAATACAGATTGTGATTAGAATTTTTTGTTTTTGAGCCAAATTTTTTGTATGGGAGATTACTTTTATTACAATTCCGCACCCGTAACGCTGGAAAGGTTTTTTTTGTTGATTAAAATATCTTCAAACTTGGTGAGATTATTTGAATGAGAAAATAAAATTCACAATTTTTCACTGTGACCAAGTTTATTTATTGCTTTTTTTGATTCGAAATTGATCGGATTTCTTCTATCCATAGGTCCTATGGCATAGGAATACCATTTTTTACCACCATAGCGGATTCCATAAAAACGTAATTAAAAATCGGATTTTATTGGATCATTGAATTTTGATGGAATATTCAAACCAAAAGCTTCTTATTCATAATCAGCGTTATGATGATTTTTTACCATATTTCAAAAAGTCCGAGAACAACACAAACGATTGGATATCAGTTGTCACGATTTATTTGTTGAACCCAATGGTGATCCAATAATTGAATGCTATCATTCTATGGTTGAGAAGAATTCTTTTGGACTTTCCGAGTATCTGAGAATGCTCGGCTATGATGATTCATTTATTGAGGCAATTATGGCAGCAAATAAGAATGTTGCACTCGCAGCCATATTACCCACTTTTTTGGAACCATTTTCAATGCGTTTTTGAATCCGCGTCGATGCGTTTTTGAATCCGAAAATAAAGTTTGCATATTACTCAGATCCAAATAATCGAGATAGAGAAGCTATGATAAAAGCAATGCAAGATCAAATCGCTCTTGAGCAAACAGAGACTTATAAAAAGGCAGCTGCCACTCTTATTTCGATGCCGCATTGTTTTGAACATGAATATGGATCGTATGAATTCTGTGATTGCTACATTGATTATTTCACATCATCAACCTATCATCCAGTTGGCACTTGCAAAATATGAAATGACCCCATGAAATCAGTTGTAAATACTAAAGGTCAAGTGCATGGAATCGATGGATTAAGAATCGCTGATGCTTCTATGTAATATACATGAATGAAGTATTCCGAAAATCGATTTCAATTAAGGAATTTTCATTTGCTTCTTTTATTTTTAGAATGCCGGAAATTGTTTGGGAAAATCCACAAGCAGCAATAATAATTGTTAAGTATTGAGAAATACGTTTGAATAGTTTGATAGTTAGTAAAAGACTAACAATTTATTATATGATATTATATACAATGGTTACTTGATATCTAAACTAGAAGATAGTAAATACAAAGGCTATTTCATAATAATGATGGCTGAAAAATTAGCTGACGAACTTGTTCAGATCCAATCCAACGTGAAGAACAGTGTTGAAACCAAGTGGGTGGGCATCAATTATCATAAGGAATCACTCGAATTTCAAACAAGCTCTAAGTACTATCTTTGAGTTTACTTGGATTAACAAAAAAAATCACGATCAAATGGATTGCGTTGAAAAATGAGAAAATAAACCACTTTTTAAAGAAAATAAATAATAATGTTATTTTTTGCAGGGACCATAACCGTCATATGGCATAACACAGTGACAGTGGCTATTTTTAGACCCATCGTGGTGAAATATAGCAAACTAAGGCGGAAACAATAGAAAATGAGCATCATTTGTGGTTGAAATAAGAAAAGAATATTGATTGGATTGAAATGTGATGGGTCAGTCAGCCAGTGTGATATGTGTGATGGTTCGGTGAAAATCAATTCCAAGAAAATCGGATTTTCATTTGTGATGGTTTTTCTTCTCGGTTTGAGTAACAACAAAATTAGGAGTTGTTATTCAATCGAGTTAAATCGAACCGTGCTATCGCTTCAATTGAAGCATGTGTGTGCTTTTCTATCCATATTCGCCGTAGTGAGTGTGGTTGGTCGTTGTGAATCGAGACACTATTGTGTGTACGGCATTATTTATGTTTGACTCGATGATTCAAAAGCCATTCTACCATATAGATTCGCATTAATATTGGTTTCTTTTTTTAATGCTGTCATGATTTTTCTATTATGTCAAATGACTGGACATTTGTTGTCGTTCATTTCGATTTAATAGAGGAACGAACAAATGAGCATCGTTGATGCGAATGTTGAACGGAACAAAATCAGGCACATTTCGAAATTGGCCGAAAAACTCATATTCACTCACACCATTCACATAAGTTCAATGATTTTCTATGGACAGTGAACCCACTCACAAACTCATTCCAATTATTTTCCGCGTCACTCTTTGCTCTGGGTCCCACGTCTCTTTCTATCTCAATCTTTTGCTACCTCCATTCCTCCCTCCCCTTCCCACTCTCCCATCTGCGGCCATAAAGTTGATTTTGTCATTTCATAACTAATTTTCGTTTTGGTTGGAATGCTTCAATCGGATATGTTAACCATTCAATTGCTGTCCAACTTGGTTGCGTGGCATCATGTGACAAAAAAACCAACTCCGAAATGTTAAAAAAGTCTCTCGCATTTATGTTTTCTTATTTGATTTTTTTCTCTCAACTTTTCCTGTTTATTTGTTTGGGACTTCTTTTCGCTTTGGATTTTTTTTTATTTGGTTTGTCGTTTGGGGAATTTCAGATAAAATAATCGATTATTGCGGTTTATCTAATTTTTCTATCTCGGACTTTTTCTTTCATCCTCTCGGCGTATGTGTGTTTCTCGAAAAAAAAAGCTGTATGGATGTCGTTCATTTCGATTGAGATATTATTTTCGGTTATTTCAACGACTTTTCTGTGCTTTATTTGTCCATTTTACCTTCTTGTGAAAAATCACATCAGCCACGTTCATATTGCGTAGGGTATGTTTTTCCTTCTTAATACCACATTCATGAGTCGACTAGATGTTCTCCGAGGACAGCTTTAATAGAATGATGCGTTCAACACGTGTATTTATTGTGTTAGTTTTTTTACCACACGACATATGATTCGAGCGGTAATGATGGGCCTTCGTATACCCCAAGAGACGCATAAATTCAACCAAATTCAACGACATGGAAAAGAAAAATGAAATGAAATAACCACACTAATGGCCAACAGCGGTAATAAAGATTCAAAATGCCCATTTTTGACTCATTCCCATTTCCTGATCCATACACACATACTCCCCGTCTCTCCTTTCTCACTAAATCACAAAAACATTGTCCAAACCCATGTTCGATTCATTTTGCGCTCGGTGAAGAGCCTTGCAATCAAGTCGATTTGATGGTGCCAAATAGCACTCGATGCGATACAATATGAAGAGAAAATTGTGTGCGAGATTTGTTTGATTAGAACTACAAATGGGTCTGAATGCGAATGCAATAGTTGACGATTTAGAAAATACATCATTTTTGAAAAATGAAAAAAGGTCACTTGAAAACGTCACGACAACAGTTCCAAAATGCATGCTCATTTACTCTAGTACATACAAATACAATGAGAGACAGAGAGAGAGAATCCACAGAACGGAAGTGAAAAATTTTCAAAACTGCTCGGCAAACGTGACCAATTTTCCATTTCCGTGTAAGCATCGAAGATGGTTTCATATTTTAGCAGCGAATGCGACACAATGGCACGTGTTTACCGAAATCAATTTTCTTCGGTCTCTCTCTCTCTCTTTCTCTCTCTCTCTCTATCTTGTTTTACATTTTGGTCGATGCTCAAATTGGCTGGCCGATGAATGGAAAAATGGACCACAAATCACTAAAATTGAAACGTGATTTTTCGCATGCGACCAAAATTCACATCAGCGCCAAAAGAAATTCCGCAATAAAAAATACTCTCAATTGGATAAATTTAATTTTGACTAGAGCTCCCAAAATGATTCACCATCGATGGAGAAAGACACATGCTTACCAATCTAAAATTACAAAATGCTGTTTTGTTTGTTTGCACAAGTGTTCCTGCATTAAATACGTTTATCAAAACACGCCTCATTGACAGTGAATGACATTTGCAACACATTTTCAATGAAAAGCAATATATGTATTAATTTTTTAAACACAATCCAAACATACACAGCTGCAAATACAGTCGATTGCATTTTTATTTGCACTCAAATTTTGCGTTGAATTTAATTAAATTTATTAATCAAAGTCACTTCATAGAGTGAATAAATCAGCAAATGTTGAGATACTTCATTTTCAAATAGTAAGCTTTTTTCAAAGTAAGCCTTTTCAAGTAATTTAACAAAAAATCGAACCAAATCAGGCAATATAAACATAACTGACGATAAAATCAACAACAAACATCAAGTTTCCACACATAATTGACATTTGTGCCTTTTCTTTAGTCGCAAGATCTAGTTAACAAGTATTATCAATTTGCTACAAAATTAATTTGAAAAAGTCACAAAAGTCTCTCTTTCACTTCAGCGATGTAAATTTACAAGCCACCTTTTAAAATACCTGAGTTCGAGGACAATTTCACAGAATTTCAATAAATCGTTTGTCATCAAATATTTTTTTATCGTTCAACGTCGCTCCATTTTTATTGTTCGACATCGTTCATCGTTATTGAACAAAATGCCAGTGGGTTCAGCATTTGTCATGGTCGTTTTCATTGTAAGTCGTATTGTAAGATTTTGATGAATTGTATCAATTTTTATTTCGTGAGAAAAGAGACGAAAGAAGAAAAACTGCGTCAATTTTTTATATCCCGATTGACGTCACATATTTATTTTTTATCAATTTATTCCGCAGCACCTGTTTGTCGATGCGGATCTCATACAAAGTTCGAAAGCCGAGGTCGAATATCATCGCTTTTTGATCGAATTGTTAAAATTAGAATCAAGTGAAAGTGCTCATTACCAGCGTATCGTGGATTCATTGATAAAATTTGTAAAGTTCTATAAGCTTGAGGGCCTCGAGCTGGATTTCACCGTAGATCAAGTGATTGAGCTTGTGTTAATATTCGAAAGGGTGATAAAACTGAAAATTGCTCTTCTGAAGAGTCTCACGAGAAAATGGGTGCCACGCAAATCGGTAATTCGAGATGAAAAGGTTCAAGCACTTGCACAGAAGGATGAATTACATGCCTCGAGACAACTAAAAGTGTACCGTAGCCAAATGGTGTGTTTAAAAGAATTTAGCTCTTGTGTTAATTTAGAAGTAATTGCCAAGAGATTATCATCGTCAAAGGTTCGTGTTGAAGGTCAATAAAATTTGGTCATTGTTTGATGGTTAACCAAACAAATCTATTTAATGAGAGATAGAGAGAATAATATTTTCTTTTCCTCGTTTTAGCTCGAAATGATTGTGGATGCCATCGAGTATCTTCTTCCGTATGCCAAAATATACTCCGAGGAATTGGATGTGTGCATAAAGGGGTCACTTTTAAATATCACATCATTTGGAAAATCAACAGTCAGTGAAAAAAAAGAACCGGCAAAATGGAAAATATTTCGGGAGCCAGGCAAAAACTCATGAAACAACGAATTAAATACGAAAAAGATAAAACATACTGGTTCAACAACATTACAGCAACGAAAAAAGGTCGTGAAACAACAGATAATATTTGCGAAACACTGGAAGAGTCTGTGTGTACTTTTTTTGTTATTCAATAAAAATGTGGGTTGAATGATGCGTATGTGTGTTATATTCACTTAGTTCATTGCAAAAGGTGCAAAATTGGGTTAATGTCATTTTAATGTGACGCAAATTTGGAAATTGCGCCATTTCGCACTTGACGCATATAATGTGTGTGTGTTTTAAACGAAAACAACAACAACCAATTTCTATTGGGGACTTGCTGTTGCAAATACTACAAAGGAAGACACACTCTCATTTTTTTATATAGACAATTTACGACTGTGGATCAAATACAATGGAATTGCTCGCAGAATTGGCGTGTCGACGTCGCTTTCAGCAGGCGGAAGGATTTTTATTGTTATGTTTCAAATGAAACACCATAAAAATGCTTACCTATAAAACAGGGTTCGGCATATAAAAAAAAAGCGCAACAGACGCAAAAACGAGGAAGAATAACCAATAAAATATGTTGGTGAATCCAACGAATGAAATATAGTCGCTGACATATATAAATATAAATCCACATAAATCGAAAAAGACGAAAAATTGGAATGAAATAAGCGGCTTATCAAAAGGAATGACACGACGGAAAGAAGACAAACATCTAGAACGCTTTATGCTATAGTAATGGGCCAGTGGCCACATGTGGTTTGGCCGACTTGATTGAGAACATGCAATAAAATAACCACAATACCAACAAATAACTGCTACAAATTGTTCTTTTCAAATGGCCATCGAAATCTACTCTCTTTACAACGTCTTCACATACTCATACCATCCAACATGAACCTCATGCCGTATCTATTCATCTTTATCTGTCTCCATCTCACACTCTTTCCTCTCTTCACAATGTATATGCTTGAATAACATCTATCGCCTCCATCCACCTTCCGATGCCAAATATTCGTTCGATTTGCCCGAAAATCCGGTTCGACATCAAGTAGCAACGACAGCATATTATAATTGTAAACACTTGTCAAAAAATTTATTCGAAATCCGTTGTTGGAATATTTAGCACATGTTTATGTTATGTTTGAACGTGATTTTTCACTTTTATTATACCCCTTCAATGCAGACAGTCGATGCTTGAATTCGATTCGATTGCTTTTTGAGCAAAACAAAAAAAAAAGCCTCAACGACTCGGATGGGCTTTGATGTTACCGAAAATCGAATGAATAAAATGTGCTGCATGCCAGCATCGTCGCTGTCGTTGACAATGAAAATTGGAAAATCTCAAATGACGGTCATTGTCGTTCGAACTCGTTAGCATATCAGCTCTATTTTCACGATTGTGTCTCTGTGTCATTCAGGCACGTTTGCTTTCAACGATCTAAATCTATGACAAAACTAAAGGTATTCTCGATATTCAACTCTCTCTTCCGCGCGCTTTCTCTCCCCCTTCCGTGAAGCGAGCTAAGCTAAATTCGAAGCACATTTCCACATCGAACGGGCTTCGGCTGACTGATTTTATGTCACCAGAATTGGCATTTTCGGCAATTCGCATGCAACCACTTTTGCACGGTAAGCCAAAATATAGTCAACACATGAAACAAATAAATTTAAATAGATCCACTTTCGTAATTCGTATATATACGCAAATAAATGTACGACAGCTGTGCACCGCCAATAGAAACACATATAACCACCGCTCGCACTCTTATTAATAAAATTCTTCGATTTCAAGCACACTACTGATTTCGATATGGCACCGTTTCCAATTCTCTGATACCGTTTTTAGAATAAAACATCAAACTAAATAAAGAGGATTTTACATCTGTATGACTAACTATTTCGGATTTTTTTTTTACGGCGTCATATCGACCAGAGAATTTTTTTCGGGTAAGTTACAATTCTCCTTGAAAAAATCGCGTGAAAGATTACATAAAGCGACCCAGGCATGCGCAAGGGCAGGTTTCTTGTTTTATTGGTCTCAAAATACTGCACGACTGCTTGACGACTTGCAAAATCATCATTTTTAATTGATTGTTGACGATTATTGATGTGTCAAATTGATTGTATAATTGGAGTCATTCAATTGCCGTTGTTTATTTATCTTTCTTTTTGTCATCTCATTCCTGTTACGTAAAGAGAAATATGTAATTTTATCACGAATAGTCAAATTAAATCATCAAAATGTGTTTCGTTGAACATGGTTTTTATATTTATTGAAAAAAATGTTTCCCTTTTCTTGGCATGTAATGCGATTCTTTTTGAAATAAAACTGGTTCTCATACGAAAATAAATAGATCTTTATTAATTTTGAAAAGCAAATTTGGAAATTAAATTTCATTTCATAGAATAGATTTCATGAAATATATTCAAAATCGATGGCGGCAAACTTCACGTCCACTTCATTGGAATTGCCAACTTTAGCGATGCAAATTGGTATTTTCCGTGCTGCCAACAAACTAATGCTCATTGATGCAACGCGCACACTGAAAACACGTACGATTCATAAGCAAGCGGCTATTGGAAGATGTAACACGTATGTCGTACTGACCAAATAATTTCTCGTGATTTTGTGACCAATATATATATTCAATATTTCAAAGGTGAGTGTTATAAATGTCCATTGCCATTGGCGTGAACGTGTACAGGATAAAAAGAATTTGTGGAATTAATTACAATTGAAATGAGAATGAGTAGAATTTGTTGGTGTTGACTCTGTTGAGTGGTGCAATATTACGATATGTGGTAGAGGTTATGTTATATCTTTGTGCAATTCATTCCACTTTCCCAATAAAACAATTGAACAAGTTTGGAATTCATATTGGTTTAGTTAGTTAATTATCTTCTTCTATGCATTTATGCACAAAACTTCTGCTAGACTAGAGAAAGCATTATGCTTTTATTGTGACAATTACAGTGACACATATTTCTGACATTAAATTTCTGTTCAAAAGAATAAATTAAATTCAGAAAGAAATACATTTTTTTATTAAGAACAATATACATTTCGAACTGCAAAATATTTGAATTGGTTTTTGTTTTGTTTTATTCTCTTTGCTCAAGAGTAGTTGAAGAAACCGACAATGAATCTATTCCCAAGCAAAGGAACATTGGACGCAAAAGTTAAGCGTAGATACAAGCGCAAACAAAGCACTCGAAAGTTCGAAATTAAGGAAGAAGTTATCATAAAAGAGGAACCAAGAGATGGCGGTGAATTGATTCATTGTTCGCCACCATCATCACCGGTTGGTGCGACTCAACGCACGCTCAAACCGGAGAGCGAGAGCGATAGTGAAGTGTGTAGCGAGTACGACCTTGATTATACAAAGAAAGAAATCAAGAGTGAAGACGAAGAATGTACGAAGAAAAGTTGCTGCTCATCGTCACCAAATGATGGTTCAAATCAACGCAAGGGCGATGATCGAAATAGTGGAAATCGATTGCATCCAGAACAAAACGCGTTGAATGGCGAAGGATCAAGCGGACGTAATTCCAAGGGAATGAAACGAAGAGGAACAAAGAAGGAAAATAAATCAAAAGCTGTGAAGGAATCAGCTGGAAAGAAGGAGAAGAATCACAAATGTATGTGATTATGCTGCATCGTGGAAAATCAGTCTAATCAGACATATCCGAAGACACACCGGCGAAAAGCCTTTCGTATGTGAAATATGTGAAAAGGCTTTTACACAAAAGCATCATTTGAAGCGACACAAGAAAGTCCATGCCACCGAATTTCCATTCCATTGTCCAAAGTGTCGTCGAGGATTCAAACAAGAAGTCGAAAAGATCGAACACGAAAATCAATGCCAACATCGACAATTCGAATGCATTGAATGCAAATACATCACTGATAATTCGTCACATTTCAAACAACACATGCCAATCCATAGTGATGTGAGGCCTTTCCAATGCCGCATTTGTTCAAAAACATTTATACGAAAAAATCATCTTCGCCAACATTCGCGCACTCACACCAAGCAACTACCGTTTGCCTGCTCGAAATGTGGACAACGTTTTGCTGACGAAAGCTGTAAAAAAACGCATGAGGATCGATGCAACTGTCTACGTTTCGAATGTTATCTCTGCCCATTCAAATGTTTTCAGAAAAGTCATTTGAAATACCACATGCAATCAAAGCACACAGGCGAAAAACAATTTCAATGCAAAGTGTGCTATAAGAAATTTTTTGTGAAAGTTTATCTCAAGAAACATTTGGCGATTCATGTTAAACCGAGCCCAATTCGTTGCATCAAATGTTGTCGTCGATTTGTAAACGAAGGCGATAAGAATGCACATGAAGAACATTGCAATCGACGCCACTACGAATGTTACATCTGCAAAGCTTCAGTTCGCGATTCACTGCAATTAAAAAGTCACATGCGAAATTAGGGTGGTTTTTTTTTTGGTCATTTTTCGGAATTTGTTGGGCAAATATTTTTTTTGCGTCTATTAGACGTCAGAAACAACATACCGGTGTAATTTTTGGTTTTC